TAACACAAATATACCATAGCATAAAACTGATTATATTTGAAAGGAAAAAAGTAAAGTTTCTTAACAAATCTCCAATATACATGTGAACATTTATTTAACCTGAAATTAAAAGACTATTTCTATAATATTCTCCAAATATACACGTAACGTTTATCGGATCTAATTGATGTGATCCCTCCCAACAATTTACGAAACAAGAACGAATAAATATCAAGCTTAAACAATCAACCAACCAACCTAATCAATCATCACGTAATTAATCGCAAACATCGCATCCCACCTATCGCCTAACCTACTTATCTTTTCTTTTATCATCAACGTCTAGCTTACATATATTTTATTTTTTACTCGCCGTCCATCAACGATGAAGCACTCTCATCAAAATCCATTCTATTTTAGCCTACTTAAAGGAACTGTGCAATGTCGGCGTTTTTAATGTTTCGGAAATGAGGGATGAATTAAAAACGGTTTTTCGTGATTTTAATCTATTCTATTTTCACTTTTTTCTGTACATCTTGTTAGCATTATATTGATTTTCATTAACAAATTTTTGATATTTGAAAGAAAAAATTTAATTGTATTTGGAAAATTTCAAGAATAGTAAGATTAAATTAATATTTCGTAGGATTAAATTATATGCGTTGATATCTTTCAACGGACAGTGCATTTTAATTTTTCCATTTAACTTCTATCTTTTCAACACCAAATAATATACATTTGTTTTATCACTATTTAAGTCAATTTATTTTAAATTTTATCATTTTATTCAGTACGCAAATTATTGTTGATGCTTTGGATACAGCGAAGATTCTTAAGCCGTTGTGTCGATTTACTTCGTACAGAAACAGCACGAACTTATTTCCAAATTATATCGAATAAGCTGAAAGCACTCCAGAAAAACGTAGATGATGGGTTAAGATTTAATAATTCTGCTTCGATCACACACTTAGAAACTGTAACAACATTGGCTCACACATTTTACGATAAGTTGGAAATGCTAACAGAATTGGATATGCTTTTAAAAGGTTTGTCTATTTTGCAATATTTCGTATTTTTTGAATATATTTTTTTCAAAAATAAAAATTTTATTATTTAAAGAGGAAAATGATGTGGAAATACAAGAAATTGCTAAGTTGGATAGTGAACGATTAACGGAGGAACTCGATAGTGTTGTGAACGAATTAACCGATGCTGTGATACCTGTTACTGAATACGATTCACTGAACAACTGTCAGCTAGAAATCACTCCGTTGGTCATTATTTACCTTACTTCAGAATTTATCCCTTGCGTACATTTTAGGAGTTTTGTTATTTCACTGAAGATTATCTTTTTTCAAATGACTTCTACGATTTACATTCTGCAGTCGATAAAACAGATTTACATTAGAAAAGCTTAAATCTTAAGATTTGAATTTTATTTCTGTTATTTTATCGAAATTATAAACTATACTTCTTTGATAGAGGTGTAGGCGGTATCGAAGCATCCTTATTCGCATCTGAATTGGCTCAAATGTACCGTAATTACACGCAGTTTATGAAGTGGAAATGGACGCCTTATCAATTTGATGCTTCACCATCGGGTAAATTAAGATTTCAAAAATTTTAAAACGAAGTTAAGAAAGCCATTTCTCTTAGTTCACTGGCTTTACTATGCTTTGCAGGAGGTATACGTAGTGCTATAATTTTTGTGCGAGGTAACGGAGCATTCCGGGCGTTACGTTATGAAGCCGGTGTTCATCGAGTACAAAGGTTTCCAGTAACGGACAAAACACGTATGCACACAAGTACATCTGTTATAGCTGTTCTTCCGGAACCAGAAAAGGTCCATCTTTTTCATATTGTTTCTCGCATATCTTTTAAAAGAAACCTCACTTTTTATCTTCATTCGTGTACGATGAATTGGAAAATGTTTCAATTCATTCAAATTTAGTTTCTTTTAGGCAATCTTTTCATTTTACAAGTTATGCAATTGAATTTTTTTTTTTTAATTAGATGAATTTTAAAGTGTAGGGGACTACACATATAAAATGGTTTCAGATAGAAGCTTGCGTGACACCGGCTGATGTGAAAGTAGAAACAATGAGAGCTTCAGGTCCTGGTGGCCAGAATGTCAATCAACGATCTACAGCGGTCCGCTTAACTCATCGTGAAACGGGTATAACAGTGCATTGCATGGATGAAAGGACACAATATTCTAATATGGAAGTTTGTATATCGTGTTATTTCTTTTCTGCTCCTCACTCATGTTTCTAATAAAGATAATCGCCAGCACGTAAATGTAAGAGAAACTTGACCTTTACTCAGTATTGTAATTTGTAGTTTAGCATGAATTGTGTTTTTTTTACTGCTTTTCAAGGTCCAGTTGTTACATTTAGATAGCGTACAAACGATTAGCTGCGATATTGTTACAACGGAAACTTGATGAAACACAGAAGCAATACTCATCGTCCAGAAAACTACAAGTTAGTTATTACAGCAATTTTATTTAGTATATGAAAAAAAAAATCAATTTGTTTTATCGCTTGCAAATTTCCTATTACTAGACGAATATTTATAAAGTTCTATTACTACAGGAATATTTTAGATAGGAACTAAGGCACGAGCTGAAAAAGTGCGAACATACGACTTCAAGGATGATCAAGTGACAGATCATCGTTTGGGTAAAACTTGGCAAGGTGTTGCAAATGTTATGAAGGGGAGCGATGTTTTAAATCAAATAATTCAATCTCTGGATGAACTCTCAAAAGCTCAATATTTAAAAGAAATCTTAAGCGCGGAAGATTGTAATGCCAAATATACTGATTCTAATGTTTAAGTTCAGGAAGCAATAAACATCTGTTTTTATGAAGCGTTGAGTCATAATTTTTGACGAAGTAATAAATTTAAGGTGCCATTCACATATTTAAATGTTTTCTTCATTATATTTCTGCAGGTATAGTATATGCTGACAAAGTTAAGCAAAAGTAACATGAAATGGCATCAAACATCTTTTGCAAATCAGATCTCACTAATGACTCTGAACACACCGTTTTTTGAAGCTGTTGTTTTTCAGAAAACTGAAGTCTCTAAAACTGGTTACTTCTTATAAAACTAGGGCTTACTGTAACTTAGTAAGCAAGAAAATAAGATCAGAGTCAGCATATAATAGCTTGTATACTGAGAGGTACAGTATAGGTGGTAATAAGCAATGAGCAAAAATAAACAAGTTTAGGAAGATCAAAAATATGGGAAAAAGTTTGAAGTTTTGAAAAAGTTCTTAGGATACAATTTGGCCAAAGTTTTTCGACTGATATAATTCTGTTTTTGACAGTAATGAAATATGCTAACATTATATTCAAATGTGAGGAACACTTTATTTACACTCAACATTACTCGTCCCCCGTTCATCTCAATTAGCTTTTCCGTATTTTTTCTTACGATGGAAAATGTCATCTGCATATGATTGGTTCGGCAAACGCTTAAGTGCTTTATATGGATATTGACCTAACTGAGGCTGTGGATACTTCGCCATCAAATTATTTATCTGATGCTTGGTCAGTACTGTCTTTCCATCGGTTGTACCGTCAAGCATACCCTGAAACATTCCAAAAAGAAATGTTTTCGGTGCGAAAACGATGTGAAACGTAAAGCTCACAAGTGAAGTGAAAGACAACTTGCTCGTAAGTTATTAGGAATTGGATGATATTTTACCTTCTTTGCAGCTATAGCAAGCTCTTTATTGGCTTTATAGGTCCTGCTCACACAATCCATATAATCTCGATTGAAGTCTGCGCAAGGTAAATTGTCATGTTCCCATTTTTTTAAGCAATCGAAAAGAGCTTGTAGCTCTTTCGTACAGGTTTCACCTGCAAATTTCATTGGAGATTTATATAGATATTTCATGTGTATTTAGAAAATTTAACACCAGAAGACATATACCGAAAGCGAGAGCAAATATTGGTGTAAATTAACGGGAAAAATCAAAGCAAGTTATCAGAGATACAAAAAATCTTGTTTGAATGATAGAATCAAATATTCGATATTTCTTCATGCTCTTAAACGATGGTAACTCACTCTCTAAGTGTACAGATCAAAAACAAAAGTATAAATTTCCGCAACATTATGTAAAAAGAAAAAGACGACAACAAAATTTGTGGGGCATGAACCGCTATTTTGTCTCTCAGAAATGTATCATCTTGAGTATAGCTAAAGATATGGTGCAGGGATACAAAGATAAGATGTAATGGTGAAAATAAATGCGCAGTCCAAGAAGAAAAGATAAGAGACCAGAAAACTTGATGTTTGAGAGAAAAGCAACAAGAAATCGGGAGGAAAGAAACATAAGATAGAGAAAATTAATTTTATGAAAAAAAAGAAGAGAAAACGCATGATATCAGTGGAAAAAAAGTATGATTAAGGTCAACCATCATTCTATTTTCTCATTCAACTACATCGATACTACAAATAGAAGTAAAAGTCAAACCTCGTGGTTTTATATAATTACTCATTACATAATTTGTAGATTTTAATGGAAGAAATTCCTTGAATTGCAACTGATCATTCTTTGCCAAATTGGTCTTAACTGGTGCCTTAAAATGATTTTTTGATAGCGATAATGTAAATTGCATTTGAATCGAATTACCACATCTATGCTGCTACCATTCCAGATTTAATCGCTGAAATAAAATAATAATAAAGTGAAAATTTGAGAAAAACATCCTAAAAAAGCAATTAGTAAACAAAGTCCCCAAAACACCCCACCAAACACCAATCACACGTAATCAAAAAAAAAATCACGTTTCATCAGAATGATACAACTGAAGCGATTCGTTTCATGATAATCCCGTCAAAGTAGTACAAAGTACTTCAGTTTAAATTTGATGACTCAGACGCATAAGGGTGAAAAAAAAAGACCCATGAGGGTCTGAATTATCAAATTTAAACTGGGCTACTTTGTACTACTGTGACGGGATTGATATATGTGTAGGCGGTAGCTGCAGGTGGCTTCACTGAGTTTTCAGATGTGTAATAGCACTGCTGGATTCGCGGTTCATAAGAAATTTTTTTGCGGAGAAAGGTGTAAAAACAAAGTATGGGATATAAATTTTTTTCTAAATTTCCAGGATGGATTGGAAGGAGGAATTTATCTGACAAAACGGAGCCGATATGTTGGTATGCGGAATATTCTTTAACGTTAATCAATAAATCCATCTTATCGTACTGATAATGAAACACATTGCAGATGCCGAAACCGCGTCAAGATTTTGTAGATCCCAATGCGGAACGAGTTCGAACGCACTTGTTTTTTTCATCCAAAGTTCCACGCAACCCATCGAGGCGAAGACGACGTCCGCGCAGTAAGTTTAATAATAATAATAATAATAAGCAGGTCTTAGAATGTTATATATGCAAAATCGATATGGAACATACTACGGCAGAGTATTATGTTCTCTTCAAGTATATACAAGTCTGGATGAAACTGATAGTATTGACAATCCGAGAATTATTGGTATACTTCGAAATTGTAGATAAACTACACCAGCTGATGCACCGTAAAGATGAAATGGTGCAAACGGTACCAGCCGAATTGGAGCCGTCATTGTGGTTCGGTAATCAAAGAGTACTTCATTTCGGTCCTATGGCACAACGTGATCCGTTTTTCTACTACTATCCAAAAGGATGGGATGTTCTGTATCCAGCGCACTTCGGCTTTTTTCCTTATCGGGCAACGTAGGAATTTTCTCCTTTCCATGTCCACTTCTTTTAATGGATGTACTTTCCTGAGATGCATTATTTTATGTTGATGCATTTTGTTAACATCATTGAGAGGATTCACTGAGAAGAGGGAGTTGTATGTTGGATAAGTTTTCGGAACTGAGAAATTAGATACGAAGTTGGTATCGCTTTTCAAGCCTATGCAAACAAATTTATCTGATATAGATGTATGGCTTGAAAAGCCATATATCTATATCAGATAAATTCAGATAAATTTGCGAATTTTATAATTGGAATTGTTTTTTGAAGCTAATTTAGCAAAAGAAGTAGTTTTTCATATATGAGTTTCTTTTCGAATCTTTTTACGAATTAGAGATTTGACCATTCTGCTTCTTTCCGCACTCTGCTGAAGATTACCACTCATCTCTTAATGATGACACAGTCTTAAAAAACTTCACTCATATTTCAATAAGCTGTTGATTTTATCCACATAATGACAAAACAGAGTCAACAGAGCTTGCACGAAAAAAATAGAATTGATCATATAAAATTTCTACCTACTTCTCTCTTTCTGTCTCTGAATCGACAATTAGATCTTCCGGTTTTGCATGGATGTCATTCATGACATCTGGAGTGCAGTGATTTTAAGACTTATTAAAGATATCGCCTTCATAAATTTCGTCAGCATACTGAATAGTTTAAAGCGTTATTTTTATTAACTAACTTTTCTAATGCATTTTATCTGATCTCAACTAACATATTCTACAATACGGAAAAATTAACAAAAGTATTAGGAAATATTTATTAGATTTCAGATTTTCTCAAGAAGTTCCATGAAATGTTCCTTGCATGCTGTTGCTGTGATTTCATTCGTGACAAATGCATTTAAACGTCAGTTTTCATTTTTCTTTTTCCCAAATAATATTTTAACTACGAGCTAAATTTTCATCAAAATAAGTCTCATTCTTATCATTTTGCCACCATTTTCTAGGAAATTTCGAGGATCTTCATCTGCAATTTGCATAAGCGCATTTGGCACCTTCTTATCGTTAGGTGGTGCTTTAATGTTGCTTTTGGCGCATTTCTCAATGGACAATTCTCCATTGTTTAATTTGGAATATTATTATCAAAAACCGATACAGTTAGCTGGTTCAATTTTCCTCATTTGTGGTGGTATCCTCGTGCTTGTATCACTTGTTTGTATAATATTATCGGTTAAGGTTTGTTCTAGGGACCGTTTTTGCATTTTATCAAAATTTAATGTATTATTGTTCATAAGTATTTCTCTATCGGATATGGCTTAATTCTATCATTTCATTTAGATCTGGAGTGAGGACATCAGTGCCGAACTTGGACGACCACGTTTCACGATTTTGAAACAAGCTGTAAGAGTACGTTTTTTCGATATTTGTATTAATTTCTTGCCTTTCTGTTAAAGTTAATATCTTTGTTTTTTGTTTAAAGTGAAGATGAAAATTTATATCTGAAAAAATAAATTACCTTTATTTTTTTACAAGTACATGAAAATTTGTTGAATTTACAGATTTTGTACTCTAATATGCATCATCTTCACATATTTGTTAACAGGAACATAATTTCTGGAACTCACATACATGCAAAAAAAATTTATTTGCTTACTCTATGCTCATTAAGTTTAATCAGTAATCAACTATGATGTTTAGGAATCTGTTGATGTTTACGAAAAATCCCCTTATCAGTCGATACGACCACCGGCATATCCAGTTTTGGAAAACAAATATACTCAAATGACGGTGTTCAGTCCGAAATCAGAATTGAAATTATATCCACCTGTGTTAGTTTTCTTAATAATTAATATTAATCCAGTTTTATATCGAATAACTAACTAATCATTGCTTTTTCTAAGCGGTGTGTTTGTTCGGAAAGAGGGTTTTCTTTTGAAATATTATTTAAATATTAAATGAAATTGATACTGTATCGGTTCGTTGTCAGTGCCAACCGGTGGATGAGTTAGATGGAAGGCTTTGAAGTTTGGCACTGTAAACAACTGTTAAGACAGTGACACGTTGATAGTGGTAAGAAGTATGCGATTGAATCAATACCTCGTGATGTACCATATGATTAGATAAACTTGTTGATTAAGAAACATTGAAAAAATTTTAAAAATAGTGTTGGATTTTAAAATTTTTAGTAATTACTCTGATTTTTCATACGAAAATTGCATGTAATCTTGTTTTATAGAATGCCCGGTTGTTCGACGTTGTCATTGCATGATCGAACATCAAGCTCTTATTTTGCTAGTCCATACAATACTTTACGCGCCGTTCCTGCGACAGTGTAATTTTCTACTTGAAAGTACAATTTTTGTAACTTAACTTTTTCAAAATTCTCGAACTTAGTGAAGTTCAAAATCAGACTAATTTCTTGCAGACAAACGGACATTGTAAAAGAAAATCCACGAGCTATTTCGTTGACTGGTACTCGAAAACTTTCGAATGATTCTGTCCAAGGTCTACGTCGAGCAAAGAGCGTAGCTGCTTCTTCAACAAGAATAGAAAGAAATCGACATACTTGACGAATGAATTTAAATTCTAAAATCTATGAAAAAAGAGTATAAGGTCTTTCTTGGACCAGTTTTTATAGCTGACTTTAAACTTGAGTATATTGCAGAATTTATCTTATTTTATCTTTTATCTCTGTAGTGCATTTATTCGCATGTTTTTTTCATTAGTTGTAACTGGATTATTTATTAATGATATATTCAAACATTTTATTATAAATAAAATATTTTTATATTGCCTGAATACCAATACTACTTCTAATAGCTTTTAATTTATTAAATTGATTGTGTGACTGACTTAGTTTTTGTAAAACAAGTTGAACAAATGGTTTGTAGGGGTTATTGTCTAATATGAGAATGCCACTCTCCCAATGCAGTAAAGCTTATTATACGTTAATTAGTAAGTCAGTCATACTGTGATATTAATGTTTGTATCAACCAGCTATTAATGTCATCATGTAGTATTTGTATTTCGTGTGAATTGCTGACAGATAAACTGTAATGAAATGGTTTGGGAATTTGAGCATACCACTAAGAAAATCTCTGTACTTTGAGCATAGTGCATTTTAATATAACTTTCGGAAACTGTAGTACAACAATATCCAGAAATGTATGGTATTAATTACTCAACAGTATTTTTTTCTCTAATTAGCTTCAGAAGATTTTGAATCGTTGCTTATGAGTTTAGTTATTTTTTCTCGACCTGTTTCATATTTCTGGGATGGATTGGTATGTCATATCTAGAAAGCGTTCAAAATGATCAAATGTTCAAAACAGATTTTAAGAATCAGTGAGAGGGATGATGTTATCCATTTAAATTTGCAGTGATTTTTGATTATTTATTCCAACTATATATTGAATTAGTTCATTAATTTACTCAATTCCAATTCCAAGAAAAAGTTCACTGAATAATGGCAATATCGTAAACGGCAAAGCCATTTCCCAGTCGAATTCCATTAGATATTGGTTCCAAAGTTCATTCGTTTTATGCTGTCAGATTTGAAAGAATGGGTTACGGTTTGAAAGTTGAAGGTTGAACTTTAAAACGTTTGTCATTTTGCTCATCCAATTTTGTATGACAATTTTCGTTCAGCTATTTGGTGCTAAAGAAGGATTAGAAGAAATCAATTGTCCCATCAGATAGTACAAAAGCTTTTCGATGGAAAGCTGACAGGTGGGTGGTTCTTTTTTTCTCGAAATTTGGTGAAAAGCACATTTGAGTCAAGGAACTGATTTTTTGAATAGATATGAAATCGAGGTGGGATTGATGCAATTTTCTGTTTTGTTTAAAAAACATCTCTTCTAACCAATTTTTATCATTACGATCAGCAAATGCATGAGAAATCCATTTTTTTTTTTTTCAAAAAGATTCAGAAATTCTCATGGAGAAAAAAAAAATCATTTTAGTGATATTACAGTGTTATCGAGAACATCAAGCAAACATAGGAACTGACGAGAAGAACACACGTCGATTGTTATTTGATAAAAGCGGTATCACTATGCAGCCTTTCGCCAATGACGGTGAGTGAATGATTTGCTATTGTATTATACTTTCAGAAATTCATAACTAGGTTTTATTGGTGTTTTGAATTGAATTTATCGGAGAAAATAATCTACTGCAATAAATTTTATTATTTCTTTGGAAAAAAAGAATAATGTTTAACATTTAATACATCAGATATTCGGTAGATGTTTGAATAATTTGTGCTGGTTGAAATCGTAGTGATTTTTTTTTTTTAATAAACGAAAACATCAAAAAAAGTTTACAACATGTAAAAACTATGCCATTAATTTTAGGTTTAATAAATACTAGCCAGTTTTTGACATCAAGTCAAAGACCTGCTCGACAATTTCGCTATTTTAGTATGCAAACTGTGGAGTTTGCAGTACCATCTGATTCAACAGATGAACTTTCAACTGCTGAATATTTGGGAGGTGGCTCATTCGGCAACGTTATGTACGTATGTATGATATAATTTTGTTTGGTTTGATAACGTTTTAATTTATGGAAAGCATAATTGAAATTTTTTGCAACTCTAAGATTAGACTTTTGAGAAATTTGCAGAAAAGTTACAAACTTTATATGTGCCGATGGTCGGCGAGCAGTTGTTGCAATTAAAAAATTATATGAACCATTCCGCGACGAAAAAACTGCGCTGAGAGTATACAGGTAAGAGATTGAAATCCTAAAAAAAAAAAACTTTTGTCGTTTGGTATCATTCTTCTGAAAAAGCTTAGAAAATAAACCTGAACAATGTGATAGAAAATCATTTTTTTTAGCGAAGCATATATCGTAAAAATCAAAATTTGATGTATTTGCATTAGGAATGATAAGATATTATTGATGTGTTATAAAATTTAAACAAAAAATTCCTATATATATTTTGCTCCTTAAAAATTAGGAAATTAATACATTGTCTTCTCCCTTCTTTTTTTAAACTGAAATATAACTATCCACATTTATTTTCATATTTTAGAGAAATTCGCCTACTTCAAATGATGGTCCATGAGAATATTGTACGACTGATAGACTTGTATACACCCGATAATTCACTTTCTACTCTCTCCATTGTGTATGCTTCGCAGTAATTTTACTTGGAACAGATGGAATCTATTTCATGCATTATTCATCTTCAGTGAAAGAATACTACTATTAAAATGGACTTCTTCGAAATTTACTTTTCAATATTGTATTTTGCAAAAAGGAAGTCTAAGAGAATTTGTAGTTTTACTTCAACTGAATTACTTGTTAAAGATTGCAAATTTTAGAAGAAAAATATAGGATAATAGGAGGAAGGTAGTTTATAGCTTGTAATCTCTAATATAGAAATTTGATAAACTTTTGTTTTCGGAAGCAGTTCACCTCATATTACTTTTTATTCAGCTTGTCTTCAAGCAGTCTTGATTTTTCGTGTTCTGCATCACTTAATTATATTGTTAGTCATGAAATTTGACCACTATAGGCTCATCTAGCTTTATATGTTTTTTAGAAAAATTACGTCGCTGTTGCACTTAAATTTGTTTCTCTCTTTTATCTGTATCTGTACAATACATTAATTTGAAATGTCCTCAAACGTTTTACTTCAGGTATATCGTAACAGAATATGCTGGTAATAGTTTATATGAGATTTTGAAACGAGAACGTGAGACAGGATTACGAATCCTTACTCCTGAACATCATAAATTTATTATTTATCAATTGTTACGTGCACTAAAATACATCCATTCAGCAAATGTAATTTTTTCCAAATTCTTTGAAATTTGTCTTTCAAGTTTTGTTAGCAGCTTTCAGAAGTTGAAGAAATATTGACGAAAATAAAAAATGCACATTCAGTTAAATTTCGTTAAGGTTATGCATCGAGATTTGAAACCGGGTAATTTGGCTCTTACTGATGAATGTGATTTATCAGTTTTGGATTTTGGTTTGGCTCGTTCACTGAATGCAGACGATACTGTTTTATCTGGATATGTGATAACACGTTGGTATCGTAGTCCGGAAGTTATGTATTGGAAAATATGTTCCTATGATACGCAAGGTGATATGTACCTCTTCTGTTATCGTAACATTTAGTGTATTAAGCCAGTTTACCTTTTTCGGTAGCACAGTCTTAGTCCATAAATTCTAATAACTTTTTAAATATTTTGTTGCAAAAAATGAAGTAGGTATTTTGTTGTAAAACCAAACGATACGTTTATTTCGAAGTTATTTTTGTTAATATCATTTTCTAGTTGGAAGAAATTTTTCAGCTGATGTGTGGTCTGTAGGTTGTATTCTTGCGGAACTTAGTCTCGGACGTCCACTTTTTCCTGGAGAAGATTGTAAGTTTTAGTTTTTGTAGTTAAATATGTGGAACTTCGATGGCATTTTTCGTCAAGAAATTGTTTTTTGGGTTTTTATTTTCCAAATTTTGGATAAAGAATCTAATAGTCTATGCAAAATTTTTCGCCTACTTAAGATTAAATGAGCGATTTTCAGCAATGGCGCAGTATCGCCTGATAGCAGAGCTATGCGGAAGCCCGGACCCAGAATTGTTAGCTAAACTAGCTTCCAATGAAGCTATTCTCAATGTTATAACAAAACTGGGCGTTTATTCGCGCAAATCTTTTTCAGACTATTTTCCCAAAACTTTCTCCAAACATCTGGTTGACTTTCTGGATCGAATTCTTGTACTGGACCCGGAGAAAAGGTTTCTTGAATTATATTTTATTTGTCTCATGACAGGACAATAATTCTTCGACTTTTTTTCGATTTCAGCTAACAAAAATTTAGAAGATTTTCAAACCATAAATTTTTTTTTTCGCTTTCAGAATGACAGTAACAGATGCGCTTAGCCATCCTTACCTAAAGGAATATTCAATGCCGGAGGACGAACCAATAGCGGATGGGCCTTTCATTCTGGACGAAGGATCAAATGGTCGGACAGTTGGAGAATGGAAAGGTAATCACCAATCGTTTATTATCATTCATTTGTGAGGTAACGTTTATTTTGCACCACGAATTGATGTTAAGGACATTGCCACGCCGGAAGGTTGAATTCGTAAAAAATTAGACGTATGAAGGTGACTTTCTAAAGCAACTCATAGTTTTGATTTGCTATGACCACTTGATCTAAACTATTTATTTCTCCGATCCAAGCAAAAGTACTACAACTTATAATCTTTGTCCAAAAGAATTTGAGATAAATATATTAGAGATTAATCTTGATTTATTTTTCCCATTTTTGTTGCTGCGAAGTGTGTACTCAGTACTTATTCCATCTCAATATTTCAGCTCTTATATGGAATGAATTGTTGAATTTTAGTCTACGAAGAGCAGATAATTGATGGTGATAATGATAACAAAAATGTGCATTACATAATCCTTTTATTTATGACATATATCATCAGTATATTTGTGTGATTCCCCGAAATCATACCAAAAAGTACGGGAAAATTAACTGCCCAATTATAGTTATTTTGCGAATCTGAAAATGCATATTCCACAATATTTGGAAATAAATCTATTATTTACTGAT